TAGATCCATTTACACGCCGGGTGGCGGTAATATTTTTTGGGTGATTAGTGCATTCCAGTGACATAAACGTACAGTTTCTAGCCAACGGCAAGCTGCAATTGACCGATTGTGCTAAATAAACTGACTTTCTGCTTCACAACCACTATTGTACGTTCAAAGAGTTAAATCCGGTTTTATTTTTGGGGTGCTTATTGAATTAAAGAGTATGTCAGACAACACGCAGAGGAGTGGCAGAGGAGGCAATGTTTCAGGAGCAAGCAGACGTGGCAGCAGAGGAAGGGGTCGAGGCAGCACTAGTCGCAGCCAGAGGCCAGTGCTCCCCCGGTGTCATCCAGCGGTCGTGTCTCCACCGACAACCCTGCCGTCATCAATTGGTTGACTCGGTCGTCTTTCTCTTCCCAGGTCACCTCTGACACCTACAGCCAACGGTCGGTGGGTACGTCAGACACAACCGTTAGTTGGCATGGCCCGGGAGCAAGCCCACTGAAATCACGTGTCCTCGACCTGCCCCTGTCCTTTGGTGTTCCCTCACCAAGCGAAGTATCGCATGCTGTGGGCTCAGCCCCACTGTACAGTGAGGAGGAAGAGCTAACAGAGGGCGGTCAGGAACGGGGGGAGACATCCGCCTCTTCAGCAGCCAGGCGAAGAAGTAGTGGCGAGGAGAGTGGCTCGGTAGCCGGTCTAGAGACAGGTCTGTCTCCTGACCCACACGCAGCCGAGGGGGCTAGTAGTGACGCGGAGACCCTAATTGATGATGATGAGGCTGATCGCACTTGGCAGCCTCGTCGTCATCAGGCTATTGCTTCCGCATCATCAGGAGAAGAGGGTGCCAGCTTGCCAGCGAGCAAAACAGTCGGTGGGTTGCCCAGGAGGCAGCAGGGTCGCAGCAGTGTCAGTGGAGCCAAACGGCCACGGAGTAGAGCACCAGCTCCACTGCAGCCTACCACCATGGCCAGTAGTGGTGCCGGGTGTGCACGCCAGGAGAAGGAGTCAGCCAGTGAGGAGTAGCGGGGGGCAAAGTTTCCTACTCGGCGGTGTGGCAATTTTTCGTCAAGCCGCCCGAGGAAGTAAACGTAGCCGTATGTCGACTATGTGGCCAGAAAGTCAAGCGTGGCCAGGGGGCCAATGTTGGGACTACAGCGTTGCGTCAGCATATGCAGCGTCGCCATTCGGTGGCCTGGGGAAAACCGTGATAAAGATACGGCGGTTCTGCCTGCCCCAGCCCCCCGCTCCATCACCCGCTCCGTTACTTGCTCCGTCACCCGACGTCAATCGCCCTCTATCAGCCAGTCAAGGCTCCAACACCTCTGCTGAGGGGAGTTGTCGCTCGTTGGCATCTTCCGCTCGTTCAGATGCTCCTTCTCCTGCTACTCCTCTTCACGGATTCCGTCAGCAGTCTTTCTTGGAATCCGTTTCCAAGAGACAACAGTTTGCGAGCACGCACCCGACGGTGCAGAAGCTGAACGTCCTCCTGTCCAAGTTGCTGGTGCTGCAGTCCCTCCCTTTCCAAGTGGTGGACTCAGCACCTTTCCGAGAAATGATGGCTTGTGCCGAGCCGCGGTGGAGAGTGCCAAGCCGGCATTTCTTCGCCAAAAAGGCAGTGCCAGCCCTGCATTCACATGTAGAAGAGATGGTGGGCCAGTCTTTGAGCATGTCGGTCTCTGCCAAAGTGCACGGCAGCGCCGACGTGTGGAGCTGTAACTACGGTCAGGGACAGTACATGTCATTTACGGCCCACTGGGTGAACGTGGTGCCGGCACAGCCGCACCAGCAACTTGGACAGGTCACGCCGCTTTTGCCTCCACGTTTGCGCGTCCTTGGTCCAGCAAAGATGTCCGCCTCTACCACCTCTTCTTCCGCCGTGTCCTCAGCCGCCACCCCCGTGCCAAGTCCCATTACCCGACCGGCATATCACATGTGCAGGGCGCAACGGTGTCACGCTGTGCTGCACCTGGTATGCCTTGGCGAACGTAGTCACACAGGGGAGGAACTTCTCAGTGTAATGAACAGAGAAATCGACAGATGGCTGTCTCCGCGCAAACTGAAAATCGGAACCATGTTGACCGACAACGGAAAGAACATGGTGTGTCTGCTCTGCGTCAAGGAAGGTTGTGCCATGCGCCATGCATGGCTCACGTGTTCAATCTGGTTGTCAAGCGGTTCCTAAAATCCACCATCCCACTGCAAGACATCCTTAAAATGTCACGTAAACTTTGCATGCATTTCAGCCATTCCTACACCGCAAAGCACACCCTCCTTGAGCTGCAGCGGCAGAACGGAATTCCACAGCATCGCCTGATCTGCGACGTTGCAACAAGGTGGAATTCAACCCTACATATGTTAGACCGCCTTTTACGAACAGCGAAAGGCCATCACCGATTTCCTGATGTTACAAGCGGATAAAAGGTACTCCCCTGTGTAACTTAGATGTCAGCCATTGGCAGCTCATGCGTGACACCTGCCGCTTGCTCAGGCCCTTTGAGGAGGCCACGCTATTCGTGAGTCGGCAGGGACTATGGGATGAACGACGTCATTCCTCTGTTGCACGTCCTGGAACAAATGCTGTTAACAATGGCTGGTCAGGGTGCGGGTAGACGTGGCGCACAGATCTCAACGCCACATGACCCCTGTGGGGGCAGGAGGAAGAAGAGAGGAGGAGGTAGAGGAGGACATTGGTGCTCAGGAATTATTGAGTGAAATGGGTGGTTTTTCCACTCAGCGGACAGGAGTGGAGGAGCAGGAGCATCTGGTAGAGGAGGAGGAGGAGACAGAGGACCCAGACGCACCGTGGCAGTATGCTGTGGAGATGGAGGCAGGGAGTCCCTCGCATTCCTTGGCACAAATGGCCCATAGCATGCTCGGTTGCTTGCGTAGCGACAGCCCGAATAATAATAATAACCATCAGACAGAGGGATGACTTTTGGCTGTCCACCTTGTTGGACCCTCGCTACCGTTCAAAAATGGTGGCCTTTTTCACACCTGCTGAGAGGGAGGCCAAAATAAAGTACTATAAAAACCCTATGTAGTCAGTTGGTCTCTGCCTTTCTGCACCAACGTCCATCCTCAGACACTGTGGGCCCTGTGCGCTCGCGTTCCGCTGCCATGGCAGCAGGGGAGGGGTGGGGTGGTAGGAGCAGTGGCAGCTCCACCAGCAGCGGCTGCCTCAGTCTGCAGTCGATGATGAGTAGCTTTCTTCACCCAGCGCAGTGAATAAACTACTAACCAGCCGCAGCAGCAGCAGCATCAGGTGGACCTGGAGCAGGACCTCAAACAGCAAGCTTGGGCCTACTTGGACAGCACCCTGCCAACCGAGGTAGACAATCCCCTTGACTACTGGGCAACGAAACTTGACCTTTGGCCCCAACTAGCTGAATTTGCCCTTGAAAGGCTGTCATGCCCGGCCAGGCCAGTAGCGTGGCATCGGAGCGCGTGTTTAGTGCGGCAGGAGGTATTGTAACTCCGCGGAGGACACGACTGTCCACCCAAAGTGTGGAGAGACTCACGTTTGTAAAATGAATCAGGCGTGGATTAGTCTGGATTTCAAACCACCAGTTCCTGACACAACTGACCTAATAACCTAGCCGTTCAGGCCGCTCCCTGAACACCTCGGGAATTGCTTTGTATATCTGTCGCCTTAGAGGCCGCTGTCTGAACAGCTCATGAATTGCTTTCTATATGTGTCGCCTTTGAGGCCGCTGGCTGGACAGCTGATGAATTGATTTGTATATATGTACTTATTGTCCGCTGTTCGGACAGCTCATGAATTACTTTTTGTATATAGCCTTCCAAACCGCTCTCAGAATAAGTCATGATATTCATGCTGTGTATAGCCTTATAGGCCAATGGTCAATCAAGTCATGATTGTTATAGTGTGTATAGCCTTATAGGCCGCTGTCTTTACAACTTTATAATTCCATGCAGTATATAGCCCTATCGGCCACTTTCTGGCATCCAGTTGCTGTAGCCCCCATCACCACACTGTGCCACGGGCCTGTACCGCCTTCTCATACTGCTGCCAGATCCATCCTCTGCCATGTGTGTCTTTGTCGTCTGCTCACGCTGCTGGGTTCCAGTTTTAAACCTAGGCCTGTGTATGGCTTCCGAATACTGCTGCCTCCACCGCCACCCTGCGCCATGTGCCTCTGTCGTCTGCTCACGCTGCTGACGGCTTCCGCTTTTTAACCTAGGCCTGTGTATGGCTTCCGAATACTGCTGCCTCCACCGCCACCCTGCGCCATGTGCCTCTGTCGTCTGCTCACGCTGCTGACGGCTTCCGCTTTTTAACCGAGGCCTGTGTTTGGCTTCCGAATACTGCTGCATCCACCGCCACCCTGCGCCATGTGTCTCTGTCGTCTGCTCACGCTGCTGACGGCTTCCGCTTTTTAACCGAGGCCTGTGTTTGGCTTCCGAATACTGCTGCATCCACCGCCACCCTGCGCCATGTGTCTCTGTCGTCTGCTCACGCTGCTGACGGCTTCCGCTTTTTAACCTAGGCCTGTGTATGGCTTCCGAATACTGCTGCCTCCACCGCCACCCTGCGCCATGTGCCACTTTCAGGTCTCCTTACACTGTTGGTGGGTTCCATTTTTGTGATAGGGTGCTGTATGGCCTTCCATTGCTGCTGCCTCCACCGCCACCCTGCGCCATGTGCCTCTGTCGTCTGCTCACGCTGCTGACGGCTTCCGCTTTTTAACCGAGGCCTGTGTTTGGCTTCCGAATACTGCTGCATCCACCGCCACCCTGCGCCATGTGTCTCTGTCGTCTGTTCACGCTGCTGACGGCTTCCGCTTTTTAACCTAGGCCTGTGTATGGCTTCCGAATACTGCTGCCTCCACCGCCACCCTGCGCCATGTGCCACTTTCAGGTCTCCTTACACTGTTGGTGGGTTCCATTTTGTGATAGGGTGCTGTATGGCCTTCCATTGCTGCTGCCTCCACCGCCACCCTGCGCCATGTGCCTCTGTCGTCTGCTCATGCTGCTGACGGCTTCCGCTTTTTAACCTAGGCCTGTGTATGGCCTTCAATTGAAGCTGCTTCTGCTCCGCCACTCTGCCATTGGACTCTTGATAGTCGTCTCCCCACGCTGCTGCTGGGGGGACTTTTTAACATAGGCCTCTGTATGGCCTTCAATTTTTAGCTGCTTACGCTCCGCCACTCTGCCATGGGCCCCTGTACCGCCTCCTCCTGCATGCTGCTGCCAGGCCCGTAATCTGCCATGGGCCCCCGTACCGACTCCTCATGCTGCTGCCAGGCCCGTAATCTGTCATGGGCCCCTGTACCGCCTCCTCATGCTGCTGCCAGGTCCAGAGTGTGTCATGGGTCCCTGTACGGCCTCCCATTGCTGCTGTCTCCATCGCCACACTCTGCCATGTGCCACTTTCAGGTCTCCTCACACTGCTGGTGGGTTCCATTTTGTCATAGGGTGCTGTATGGCCTCCCATTGCTGCTGCCTCCACCGCCACACTGTGGCTCCACACTCTGGTTTTGGCCCCGTGACTGCCCAAATGAGTGAAGTGTGCGGTGATTCTAAGATCGACGGCACTCATCTGCATGTCATACTGACTGACAGTATTATTTCTCTTTCCCAGCAGACTCCAAGGGCATTTAAATTAAAGGTACAGTGTTCTGCACTAATATAAAGGCTCTCTGAAGCCTAGAAACACCCTTTTTTATAAGTTAAATTCGCAGCGAATATATTCGGCTCGAAGCAAATTTTTTCCGCGAATTCGGCGAATCAGCCGAACCGAATTTTTGAATAATTCGCTCATCTCTACTGCCTATATATAGATTGTTTTTATTATGAATACACATATTTTAATGAATCACGCTGTTTTCAGAGCCAAAACAGTTTTGCAGATCCTCAAATTACATAATACGGTGCTATTTTTTTCACATTTATAATTTGTAAAAGTTTCTAGAACACGATTGTACACATGTCAAGTGAAAAACAAGAAAAAAACTTGGATATGAAGAATTCCTGAAATATGTTGGCCCTAGATGGAACAGTCTTCCCTCTGCTATGAGAAATTATCTGGCAGTTCTCCAGATAATTACAACAGTCTATATAGATGCAGTGGTCTGTTCCTTACAGTGAAAACAATTCCATCCTTAAAACAATTTATGTTTTAAATTAGGTTGGTTGCCATAGGGCATCTGTCAGTCCAGAAAATGTTGTGCCATATATATAATTCCATAAAAAATCTAAGAGAATGGCTAAACTTGTTTAAGTTGACAAGAGCTCAAGAACTTCTCAGATAACCACAAAATGTGTGCAACATCAAGCCACGAAGAGGATAGCCAAAACTGGATCCATGATGATTGGAATGAGATTGCCTGGTATGACAATTTCTGCAGCAAGATGCAGTCCATATGGTCAGACTTTGGTGTACACAGTCAAATCAGGCATCACTAAATGGCGGACTGCAGTCCACAGCCGGACCAAGTCAATGTCCTATTGGGACTGCTGCAGCATCGCCATTTAGGAGCCTTTCTGTCCAGAGCTGTCCTGGGGGCTCAGGACTGTAATAACTGAGGAAAATAATTGGGGGTGACTGGGGACAGTAATAAGGGGCTCAGGACAGTGATGGGAAGGGCTCTGGGCAGTAATCGGGGGTTAGGGCAGTAATTGCATTGCTTGGGATGGTAATAAGGGGCTGAGGACATTAATGGGGTCACTGAGGACGGTAATGGGGGGGTTCAGGACAGTAATGTGAGGGAGGGCTCAGGATAGTAATGGGGGGGGGGGCTAAAAAACAGTAATGTAAGGGGAGGCTGATTACAGTAATGCAAAGGGGGGATTTTGATGTGTAGAGGAGTGACTGATGTGAAGGGGGGACTGAGGATGCTGATGTAGGAACAAGATTGTGATATGAGGCTCCATTCAGATCTGTGTACACACGTTGCAGGTAGGGTAGCCCATTCATTTTAATGGACTGCCCTACCCATGATGGACATAAGAAAAGAAGTCGCAACCCTTTATTTTTTTTCTTTAATCACACCACATCCAGCTGAATGGTGCTGCCGCACCATGTGGCGTGGTGCGTGCAAATATATGCTGTAGGTGCTGATGTGTGGGGGTGCCATTAAGATTTAATGGCAACCCCACGCTTTTTCAAAAGTGCAGTGCATTTTTCTATGGGTCAAGAACGCATTTGCACATGTATTTACTGACCTGACCTCGGTGAATTTTAATTCAATACCCTGGTATATATTAATGGATCAACCCAATCTTGTGTCTATGGTTTAGGTTTAGTCTATGGGGGAGTGAAATACTGTGAAGAACATTAGGCCCTTTAATACCAACTGCATATACCTAAAGTCCACTCCAAGGAAAGTAAAGGGCTGCCCCCACACTTTAAGGAATGAATGCTAGATAGGCCTAGGAGATGGGAAAAATAGTTTGATTTATCCAATCCTCCGATCCAACAGCAGTTGGTGATTTCCTCTTTTCTGTCATGCTCCAGTGGTGGACTGTTTCTCAGAGTTCTCACATTCAGTGCAGGGCTATGTACCTTGCATTATGCTTGATGACATCAGAGGACCGGTGACTGCTGGAGAATAGAGAAAAAGAGGCTACAGGGACTGGTCTTGCATCATGAAGAAGCCTGGGGGACCGGAGGACCAGGATCAAGTAAAACTGCTTTTTCCAATCCACCCAGACCTAAACAAGCATTTTACCATTGCAGTGGGGGTGGGGGTGGGGGTGCTTTTCCTGGAGTTGAAATTTAAAGAATATTGCTGACCATTTACATTCTTTATGGTTATATCCCACTCATTTACCATTGATTGCCTCCAGCACTATAATGTGTTATATCCCAAAGTAGGCATAGTCACAAGCTTTTTCCTTAAGTATGACTGTGCCTTCAGTGAAAAATTCCCTGATCAAAAAATCAGCTCACTAAGGTAATGATGGAGGCATTGCAGCATGATAGTATTGCTAACAAAGCTAAAAGGTAGACTAAAATGATTGTTATAGGCACCTTGTTGAATCTATGCTACTTAGTAATCAAGCAACAGGAAGCCAAACCTGATACTAGATAGGTGTAAATAATAATGTGCCCACATGTTGTTTCCAGAATAACAGTATCAATATAACATGGTGTTTGCCAACACGTTCTCTCTAATTCTGGTCACACATTAATATATAGCGGTTGACAGTCATAGCAGTTTATGAATATTTGTACTACAATTTCATTCTGTATGGATTGAAAACAGATGGAAATGTATAGGGACTGACAGGTTGCCTATCTTCTCATCAAAATCCATTCCCTGTTACAAACTACCTATACACATGATCATTCAGAAAATTTTCACACTGAATACTGGGATATTTCACTTTATTTCCTGTCTAAAAAAAAAAACATGGAATAAGGAAATATATAACTATAGCTGCATGTCGGTCTATTTGGCAGGTTTTAGACAGAATAGGAAAAAAAATATTTTCTAGTAGTATGAGGAGCTGGTTCTGCCCCCTCAAGCACTGGCGCTGTGCTTGCCGCCCTCTACTGTTGTTTGCAAACACAGAAGCCTGACTTCTATGTCTACGAGTGACAGCACTCCTCTTACAGGGGCTCCACAGAACCCTCGCTGCCCTCCATTACCCCTCCATTTTCCCCCAGCACTCTCCAGTGCTCTCAATCTGTGCACTCCAGTGCTGACTGTTGAAATAGCTCAGAGGTGGACGCAGAGCATCTCTACTGCCGGCTGCTGTTTTTGACATATGTGGACAGGAAGGGAGCTTACTGACCAGTCTCAGAGATCCCACCAGGACAGACTTTCAGTACTTCATATAAAATTCCCAAAATGCAGCACAGCTCCTTTTAGATAGAATATGTCTAAAGAAAGCTGTGCTGCATTTTGGGAATTGTATACTTATTATGATTGGTGTGTGGGAGCACATAACAGAATAAACGGAAGCATTACGTTTGGTTTTTTTTTTTCTTTTTTCATTTTATATACAGTACTTCTTCTGCTTGTATTGAACTAGTGATTGCGCATAGAGTTTATTTAGTTACTAACCTAGTTCATTCTTCAGGATGTGTATGGAAAGGTAAGCTGGCGAGATGTTGTGGCATGTCAGGAGAGTGTTAAGGTGGAAGGGTGGCAAGGTGTTATGGTGGCAGGGAGATAAAGTGTTAAGGTGTCAGGAAGGCAAGATGTCTACCCGACATCATACACTCTGCACTCCTCTCCTGGATATACTACCTGCCATCATATATTACGCACAGTTTTCCTGAACATACTACCGGCCATCATATACTCTGCACACTTTTCCTGAACATACTACCCGCCATCATATACTCTGCACACTTCTCCTGAACATACTACCCGCCATCATATACTCCGCACACTTCTCCTGAACATACTACCCGCCATCATATACTCCGCACACTTCTCCTGAACATACTACTCGCCATCATATACTCCGCACATCTCCTGAACATACTACTTACGCCATTCTCCTGAACATATTACCCACCATCATATACTCTGTACTCTTCTCCTGAACATACTACCCACCATCATATACTCTGCACTCTTCTCCTGAACATATTACCCACCATCATATACTCTGTACTCTTCTCCTGAACATACTACCCACCATCATATAAGTTCACACTCCTCTGATGAACATTCTGCTCATCATCATACAATCTGCACACTTCTAAACACAATAACTGCTGCCATACACTCTGTACTCCTTTCCTGAACATACTGTCTTCCATCATAAATTCTGCACTCCTCTCCTGCATGTACTTCAGTCAGATATATCAGAAGAGCGCCAAAAAAACAAAATAAAAATAAAACATAATTTATACCAGAACCAAGCTGCAAACCTAACCCAAAAAAGGCGTAAATAATATAAAAAAATAGGGATGCGCTAAATAATAAATAAATAAAACTAAAATAAACAAAATAATCGTGCAAAAAATCTAAACAACACAAGTGTCCATATAATCCTGTGTAAAGTCCAACCAGCCTTAGTGACAGAGAAGGAAGTGTTGCACACTGCAGAAAAAATTGGGTATGGTTTTCGGGGGCTGGTTACAAAGATTCCCGATGATTGAGGGGTTAATTGCCTTGTGTGGGCCTTTGGCTCCAACTCAGCTCCTTCCTGTCAGGAAACATGGAATATCTACTGACAGAACACCTACTGAGAACCTGAAATATGACAGAAACTCTGATTATATACTAAGCGGGGAAGAGGGGGTGAGGAAGTGGGAGGAGGGGGTGGGGGGATAGGAATAAGAGGGAGAGAGAGAGATGGGGGAGATGGGAAAGTGGAGAGAGGTGGGGGTAGAGAATGGAAGTGAGAAGAGGAAGGAGTGAGCTAGAGGAAGGTGAGAGAGAGAAAAGGGTGAGAATGAGGGGGGGAGGGGGAGAGGGGGTGTGAGAGAGAAGGGGAGGAGAGTGGGGGGAAGAGGAAGATGAGGGGGTGTGAGAGAGCAG